GAAGAGCNTATCCAAAACAATAAAAACACCGATGAAGAGCAACTGACATAACACAAACATACATAGAGGCTACTAAGCAACTTTCTCAAATCATAACAAAGAATCCTTACAAACTCTTAAATTTCCATATGTAGCAAAGAGATTTAAGAGTACCCACAACACCAGATTCCTTTTTTTTTTTTTTTTTTTTAATATTTCAGATCTGGTGTAGCCAACTATCATCATAGAACAAAGTCGAAGTCGTCATCGACGACATTCGCACTAGCACCAGCATTATCTTTCAGTTTTGGGCAATCAACTTTCCAATGCCCTTCCTTGCGACAATAGTTGCATGTGTTGTTTCTGATCTTAGACTTCGATCTCAAATTTCCTTTATTACTACCTGAACCATATTCCCTATCTCTGCCTCTTGCTATCAAAGCCTCAGAATGAGAATCATTCAAATTTCCAAATACTTTGTTCTTTAACTCTCTTGAATTCAAAGCGGCTTTTACATTCTCCATACAAATAGAATCTCTCCCATATAACAAAGTTTCAACAAAATTCGCATACGAAGGAGGTAAAGAACACAACAAAATCAAAGATTGATCCTCATCATCAATTTTATTATCCATACTTTTCAAATCCATAATAACCTTATTAAACTCATCAAGATGGTTTTGAATAGGTGTACCTTCAGTCATACGGAGAGTGTACAAACGTTGCTTCAAATACAAACGATTGGTGAGGGATTTGGTCATGTATATACTCTCCAACTTAAGCCACAAACCAGCTGCAGTAGTTTCATTTTCCATCTCACGAAGAACTTCATCAGATAGTGATAACATAATTGCACTATGTGCTCGATTCAAAGCGTCTTCTTTTTCTTCAGCAGACCAATCTTGTGGTAAGGCCTCCACACCCTGTAGAGCCTTAAGCAACCCTTGTTGAACTAGCACAGCTCGCATCTTAACCCGCCACAGGCTAAAATCATTCCTCCCATTGAATTTTTCAATATCATATTTCACCGACATATTCGAAGGTTTCATAGACATATTAGTACAAAGCCCCAAGTCGAAACTCAGAGCTCTGATACCACTTGTTGTGCGGAAGCGTCAAATATGAAACCAATAAGCAACAACGGCAAAATATGATAAGACAAATAATCCAAATGACACAAGGATTTATATTGGTTCGGCGTAAGCCTACATCCAGTTCCGAGACGGCGAGGAAATTCCACTAATATCAAAAGGAGATTACAAATAGAGTTTTAACTCTCAAACCCAAATCCCACATACACCCAATAGCTCTCACTAAAACAAAGAACAAATGGAGAAAATGGAAACATATACCAAATTCCTTCTCTCCCAAAAGCCACAACATGTAGCACAAATATCTTTGATTGAGTGATCACTAACCAAGGGGGAAAGCAGCAACTCTATTTCAATTGGGAGAGTCGAATGCTCTCTCCTCTGCTCACTGATTAGAGCTGTCAACAAACAACTCCCTTTTTCTCCTCTACTGCCGCTCCCCTTCACCAAAGGCATAACCAAAAAACATATAATAAACAAAAGGAACAAAACCATAATTGCCACATATTCTTTGCCTTTGTAAAAGCCACAAATCAAGGGCTAGACATCATAATGATGTCCCCCTTTTTCTTATTCTATTTTATTAGCCGAAAGGTATTGTCCACTTGGTCACAAATCCAACAGAAGGAACAAAGGCAAAGTTATCCTCATGTTATTCAACGTGATGTTGTCGGGTTAGAGAAGGACAAAGAGAAATTAGTCTCGCAGTTGGTGAAAGAAGAAAAAGGCCTCCAAGTTGTATCTATTTGGGGGATGGGCGGTTCAGGAAAGACCACTCTTGCAAAACAAGTTTATGATCACAATGAAGCTATTAAGCGTCACTTCGATTGTTTTGCTTGGGTGTGTGTATCACAACAATGCCAAGGAAAAGAGGTTTTGGAAGATATTTTGATCAAGCTTACTCGTGCCACCGAAAAAGAGGACATAGAAGAAATTTTGAAAATGAAGAAGGAACAAATAGCAGAAAGGCTTTGCATCATCCAAAAAGAAAAGAAATGTTTGGTGGTTCTTGATGATATTTGGACTCCTGACGCGTGGAACTCTTTAAAACCTGGATTTCCAATTGGTGAGGAAACAAAGACTCGTATATTACTCACCACTCGGAAGAAGGACGTTGCTGAAATTGCTGGAGAAAATTGTTCTGTTCATGAATCTCGTATGCTAGATGATAAGGAAAGCTGGGAACTGTTTAAGAAGATAGCAATCTCTCGAAGAGATCAAACAAGTATGTTTCTCTTTTCTCAGTCAACTCTATTACCATTTATTGCGTCTTTTTTTGTTTATCTGTTAAGCCTAATAAAATAGAGATTACTGCATTTCATTTATGCTTTCGATAAAGTACGCACATAATTGTCCCTAATCATTAAACGTAAGGTGCATTTGTGTCACGCACCAGACCCGAGTAGGTGAAAAATCCCGAATCCCGAACAAAAGCCAAAAGTTAAAAAAAAAAAAAAGAATAAAAAGAAACTGGAACAGAGTGAAAAATAAATTCTTATAAAAAGAAACTCAAGAACTCTTTACATGGCTACAAAGAAAATAAATAAATTAAACTTTCTAACGTCACATCTAATTCAATCTCATCTCGTCTACCCTTTTGATTGTCTAGTTCGAAAAGTTGCATAATAATAGAGGGGTGAACTTCAATAGCTCAATTGGGATATAATTTTACCACAGTAAATTGACTAAACTAAATTAAGTGTCATGGAGTATTATAATCAAATATCAGACATTTATCAAAACCAATGCAAGAATGCAATGCAAACTCTTTGTCTATTCCCGTTAATTTATGTAATAATACACGCGGGTCTGCACGTCTCATACCATGCATTTTACTACTGAGTTATCGTTCGAATGTGTTTTTTTATACATACTAGCCTGAGTGACACAGTCATCCCAATTTCCCCTTTTGTTAGTCATTTTGCTTAACTCTTTGTCGCCAGTCCCAAATTTACCAGATAAAAACCATGTGCACTTTGAGCTGACTTGAAACCTAGTACCGACCAAGAGTTAAACTTACACAAAAGATCCTTTCCACTACCTCTAGTTTCTTTCTTAATACTGAAGTTCCAACCTCAACTCCCAACATAAGTCGATCACCAATATGCCATTTCATCTTTCACATATATCACAATGCTTTCCAACAATTCCACAATCAACAATAAATAGCATTTCAATGAACCAAAGATGCACAATATTAACATTAACCGCATTGATCAACCAATAAGATCAAATATCACTTCATGAAATTAATAAAGTTAATATCTATAAAAGTCAGCCATATTACTCCTACTTGAAGACCAACGCAAAGCTTGTGCCAACGCCACGTCATATGAACTGTCGTTAAGTTTTTCCTCCCATAAATTTGGAATTCCTAGTTTCATAAAAAAAAAATTAAATAAATAGATTACTATATAATCCCAATATAGGAACCACGAACTTAGTCCTTTATTTCAAAACACTAGGATTCCGATGTTATCGTTTAACATCCCTTCCCTTTAACAAAATTAGGCCCTTTAAGTTTTGTAAATTCACTTAGGTCCTCAAATTAATCTCACATTTACACACGCTGCCATGCTGGACAAATAGTAAGCTTCTGTGCAATTGAATTACATAAATTAACCATATTTTTGTGTGATTACAGTTCTACCCCTGAATTGCTGAAAACTATAAATAGCTCCAAAACTTCACTAAATCTTACAACAAGGTCCAAGGTGTAGGAACTCGTAAAAATTCCATTAAAAATTCACCCAAACTCTATTACGTGATGTTCTAAAATTCCATTAAAAATTCACCCAAACTCTATGAACTCGTAATCTTATCCACTTTCATCTTATCACTTAAAAAAATAATCCTTGACAGAAAAATTATTTAATTCCTCACCTATTTAAAAACCAAAGACAAAGTGTCAATCCAAAGAAACTCCAAAATTCTTCAAAAATTAAAACAAGACTTTCTAAGCACTATAAAATTTCAAAGTCTCCCAGTTTAATACACTTGATTGGCTTGGAAATATTGATGAGAGGGTGAGGTCATTGTCCCTAATCAATCGTTAATAAAATTGATGAATGTGTAGGATATTAGTTAGACATTCTCTAGTTTAAATCATCCAAGATGGGTGTTCGTGTTGGTGTGCAGCGTGTGTTTAGGTTTAGCTAGGTACCTAGATATTTTTACATAATATTTAGACTGTTGTTTGAGAGCAGCAACAGAGCAAGTCTGCCATTTTGTTGAAAAATCAGACACTAATATTTACGTTCTACAGCAAAAAACATTCAACAACCCAAAAGGACAGTGACAAAGTACATAAAATATATTAGAAATGACTAGAACATAACGGTTAACCATTTTTTTATCTTTATTTTCAGACTCTAAAATTGATGCTGAGAAGGAAGAACTAGGAAAGGAGATGCTTAAACATTGTGCAGGTCTACCATTAGCTATTACTGTGCTTGCGGGACTTCTAGCTAGAAAAGTCACAGTTGAGGAGTGGAAAACAGTAAACAAGAATGTCCATGCGTATATACGGAGAGGAACTAATCTTGATCAAGAATACAAAGGCGACCAAGAATATGCAGGTGCATTAAGGGTGTTAGCATTGAGTTATGACGAGTTACCATATCGTTTAAAACTATGCTTTCTATATTTAGGCCATTTTGCAGAGGATTATGAGATACCGGTCAAAAGATTGGCTCAGTTATGGATAGCAGAAGGTTTTATATCTTCAGCATCCCAAAGACATGGTTCAGCGGAAGTATTGGAAGATGTAGCATATACTTGCTTAAGTGAGTTGGTGCAAAGATGTATGGTTCAAGTTGGAACACTTGGTTCAACTAAGAAGATCAAAACATGTCATCTTCATGATCTTATGCGAGACTTGTGCTTGGTAAAGGCAGAAGAGGAGGACTTTCTTCACGTTGTAAATTTTACCAGCACGATAACCAAGACAGCGACAATTCCTAAAGGTCGAAGACTTGCTGTACATGTGGAAACAGAATTTGTTGATAAATTTGCTCCCACAAGAAATGACCACCTTAGGTCTTTGTTATTCTTTGTCGACCCAGAATATGGATTCTCCAACTGGAAGAAAAAATTCTTGCGGTCAGTAGTATGCAACTTCAAATTGCTCAGGGTTCTAAAGTTTGAAGGCATACGGAGAAAAGTAGAGTTGCCGAGTACTATTGGGAATCTAATCCACTTAAGGTTTTTAAGTCTAAGGGGAAGTAAAGTAAGACGGTTGCCATCATCTTTAGGTAATTTGGTATGTTTGCAAACTCTAGACTTACGCTTGCTTGTTGGGAGGGTGGTGAAAGTACCAAATGTGATTTGGAAGATGAAAGAATTGAGACATTTATATTTACCCGTATGGAACGGAGGGAGGTTGAAGTTGGCTGCTCTTGGGAATTTGCAGAGTTTAGTCAATATTGCAGGTGCTGATTGTGATTTGAATCATCTTGCTGAATTGACCAATCTCAGAAAACTGTTCGTATCAGGTGGGGTGGAAAATATGGAGGCAAAGTTGAAATCTACTGGCATCACATTTAACCATCTTCGATATCTATCTGTGCTCTGTCCTGCAGAAGGTATACCAATGAATATGGTATTGAGTTGTCCTCATATATACAAACTTCAATTGAGAGGGAGAATGAGAGATGGATCATTGGAAGGTCTCCAGTACTATCAGAACCTCACTAAGATGTCGCTGTGTGATACTAATCTACAGTTGGAGAGTCTCAAAATACTTGAGAAGATCCCAAACTTAAGAATGCTTTGGCTTGGTAGTTTTGCTTTGTCGATTGTTTCATCAGAAGTAGTTGTCTCAGAAGAAGGTTATCCTAATCTTGAATTTCTTTCACTTGATGGGTTGTGGGGATTAAAGAGTTGGAGCATAGAGAAAGGAGGCATGCCTAGTCTCTGCAGATTGTCTGTTCTCTGGTGCGCATTGAGGGCAGTTCCTGAGGGGCTTCAGCATGTTACTACCCTCAAGGAACTGACAATCAGACGCATGTCTCGGGAATTCTGTAGAAGGATTGGGGAGGGAGGAGAGGATTTCTACAAAATTCAACACGTGCCTTCTGTTATAATAACAGATATTCGGTAGGATAGAGAAGAGGATAACTAACTGCTGCTGCTTACATTTTGTTTGCTATTTATCTGTGTTTCTCAGGGGTAAAATCATAATGTGTTTCTGTTATCTTTTCCGGTTGTTCCTTGGAGGAGAAAGTGAAGGGGAGTCAAGTGTGGCAAAGGTGGCGAATGCAGCTGGGAGGGCAAGGCCAATCTCGCAAAATTAGGTGAAGATTATGTTGTTAATAATTGAAGGCAGTTAGCGTATCCATGTGTTATATCATATGATTTGCTTAATTTCTCTTTGTTTTATACTTGGAAAACTGTACGCCACGTTCATCTGTAATCTATGCAAATCATATGCTCAGTCATATGCTCAAGCTAAACAATTGAATTAGGCGTTGGAAAGTCTTTAATTACTTAATTGCTTTGCTAGTTCTAGAGCGTAAGGTTTACAGAAAGCAAGCACTTTATCTAGTATGATATACAACACCCAAAAATTTGGTGACCGCCCAATTGGCATGGCAAGGTCCCCTGCCAAAAGGAAACATGCGATGGATCCCTAATTGCATCTGCAAGGTAATGTTGAACAATCAATGCACAACACATGAGAAAAATATGATGGCATAAGCTATTGAGGCACAAGAAAAATTAAATGACTTGTCCAAGATGCGAGCACATGGTTATTAAATGATCAGGGAGCAACATTAATTTCCTCGCATAACAGTAGACTGGGTGTAATATCTATATTCCTACATTTTCATTTCATCAACGTTTTTAAGGTTTGAAGGTTTGTGGCACAAGTTTCAATATCCATCCTCTCCTCCCTCACTATGTTTAATGCTTATTGTAGAGAAAGTGCCATACAACCAAAAATAGGAAACTTGAGGCCTTCCAAGTTGGAACTTGGAAGTTCCAACCTATAGAAAGCATCCTAAATCACTACCAAGAAAATGTTGTGATCTATATTAGCTCCGAATGGGGTAGTATCAATATTGTGGAAACAGATACTTTAATAGTAAAATTCTATCATACCAAGTGAAAAACAAGAAAAAAAAAGAGAAGCTTTTCAATCATTAAAAATAGCTTCAAAAGAACTATACCAAAAAAAGGGGGAAAAACTATAAACGAAGACGACCAATTATTTGATTAAAAAAACCACCAATTATGACTTCAAAAGGGGAGACCATAGGAGAAAAATGAAATGTTAATCAGTTTAATAGACTTACTTGCACCTATAATGTGTTTAATGAGTTTTGATTGGACTTAAGGATCTAACTTCTCTAATGAGGTTTCAGTTTGTCTACCTAATCCAAACCTGTAACTTCTAAGCCACACAGAGATGGCTAATTACATCCTTCACCATTCTTGCATGATTTATAATTATATGAGAACCATAGCTACGAACTTTCAATTTATAAGGTTCTACCTGCCAACCCTAATGCAGATGCTTCAGTCTCTTTGTGATTTTATCTACTTTTCTAACAGCAGAAAGAATCCCAATTTGCTCGGTATTCTGTCAATGAAATCTGTCTTCCCTTCTGTTCATGGCTCAGACAACGAATGATAGTTCAGCGTTACTTTTTGTTAGGAAGCTCGGTGGCTTTATGACTCTAATGCAATATTATCGAGTAATCAACTAAAGATACGATTCCAGATGTTCTTGATCTCCAATAGTAAGATACACGAAACACAATAAAAAAAGATGGCACAACTAGAAGTCTCTTACTAATTCTTTGCAAAAAGATTACATTAATGCAATATCATCTTCGTATTTCTGTTTCGGAATCTGTGGATATATAATCAAATACAAACACAACTTAAGATCCTTGCCTTTACATCTTTGGATTACTGACCACACAATCAACAGATAATGTTAATGCTAAAATTATCGAGTTTCAGTCTCAACAAAGTCATGATGTTTGGCAACTGAATGGTGGCCTTCACCCACTAAAAAAAGTCGACTGTTACATTATCGAGTTCTGTCAAAGCAAGGGGCATCTGTTGCTCATCAATCTTCAACATACACTAGTTTTTTTGTCTGGCAAAACAGTAGTTTTGGTACTAAGAAAAGGCAGCAAGCACATTTTTAAAAATATGGTTTTGAAAGATAACAGAAGATGGAAAACAGTAGCTTTGGGTCGTAACATTGAATGAAGGAAAAAAACTAATTTTGTCTGAGATTAAAATTAGTCAGGCAACTAATCATTGTGTTTAGTTCCACATTCTTTTAATCTGTCAGAAGCAAGTTAGCTAAAAGATTCAGTCCCCTTTATCAATGTCAGAAACGCAGTGAAAAAAAGAATAGTAAAGAAGGTTTTCAATGATTGTCTGAGGCCAACACTAAATATGCAAGTCTACTATGAAACTGAGGATAACACATTAAAAAAAGGAAGAGCACGTTGATCTCAAAATGCACCACCAATAACTTTTCTTACTTATGAAAAAGAATGATTCATTTCGCTTTACCGGGATAAATCCAAAGTTCGCTCCAAATGGGAAAAATAAAACTAAGACATGTATAATATTTCAAGTTGTACTTACCTTGCCTATGCACATGAGCAATGCACTACACAAATCATATATGTAGAAAACTAACAATTCAACTGCCAACAGGAGCATGACATTTTTTTTTTTTTGGCATGCAACCATGCTCTAACTCACTCAGCTATGTTACTCATGTCTGATTTCCATACCCATTTACCAATCAAAAGACTAAAGGGAGTCACAAAGCTTGATAAAGGAGAGGAAATGGACTCAACACTACACTTTTCCATCACTAGTTGGAATTTTAGTTTTCATTACAAGCAGTATTTGTTTCTCATTGGATTGAAAACTCCACAAACTTTTTAAAAGGAACTTAATTCCATATCTGTTGTGAATTTGAATTATATACTTTAAACAGTATAGCATATGACTTATAAGAAAGAAAAATGCATAAAGCATCCTTACATACACTAAACTGAGATGAAGTTCAGCCTACAGCAACAACAGATGAAAACTAGGTGTATATTGCACCACTATAATCAGTTGCAAAAGTTAGCGTGAAATAAAATAAGGAAATGGGATATGAGTACTGGAAATGTTTGAAAAATATGAAATCCAAGCAATAAGTGCAGGACTAAATCTTCCATGGGCCACGCAAATCAAACACTATGGATTCAAAGTTACATTTTTGTTTTCCAACACTGTCAATAGAAAAAGTAACAAATAGAGATCAAACTGAAAACATGGTACCGTTGATTGAACATGCTATAATGCATCCATTCAAAATCCAAAACAGTGAGATGCTTAAAATCAATCTAGCAAATACAATTTATGTAACAAGAATAATCACCATGACTTGATGGAAGTTTGACATCCAAACAAAATACTGAAACAAGAACCAAAAAGTTAACTCTTATTCTTAAAAATGGACTTTTACAAAGAATCGCAAAACACAGAGTCCTATACAAGAAACAGCACAAAAATATTAATGCGGCAGCATCTTTTGTAAGTAACATTGCATCTCTGTGAAGATATGAAGACCTATTAAATGAAATGATTACATCCTATAATATATTATATATCCTAGAACTTATATATCATAATCGCTTTCCTACATTGATCAGTTAATCAAAGATGTACAATGTCACTGAACCTGTAAGTCGTATAGCGAAAATGATCGAACCAATCAAGCTCCAGCCCTTAACTACATTTCCCACACCTCCCTATTTTTTAATAGTTAATTGGTATCCTACTATTTAATCTTCCATATATACCCTTCCTACTTTTTGATGGTAATTAATGAAAGATTAAATAGGGAGGGATATATATGGAAGATTAAATAGTAGGATACCAATTAAGTACTAAAAAATAGAGAAAGGTGTGGGAAAGGTAGTTAAGGGTGTGTGAAAGTCACAACCCTTTTTAAATTACTTGATATTTTTATTTTTAAAGTATTTTTGTTGTAAACTTCTAGTTTAAGTATGATTGTATAAATCCTAGATTAACTTTGATTCTAGTTATTCTTTCCTATATGGTCTTGTATTCCTTGGGGATGAATGATTTCTTCTCTCCCTTTTTACTATAAATAAAGACACTACATAGGGGAATAACATACATTCCTATACACATCCCTACAAACACATCTCTCTTTACAATCTTTCTCCTTGCCGCCGGCCCCCTTCCAATGTCAGTTAAATATAGGTTACAACACGTTATTAGCACGCTCCTACCACTGCGCCTAGAAATCTGACGAGGAAGTTTTTTGCGTCAAACTAGTTCATCCATATCATCATGCAATCAGGTTCTTTCAAAACAACGGTTTTTATCTCGATATTTTTGCAGCCCTAATAGCATGAACATTTACCATAATGCATGACCCAACTTTACATTTTTTTCGAATTTTAGAATCTACATAAATTGTGTATGCATTATATTCATAATTGTTGAATTGTGTGAATTTGATATTGCCATGAATTGCATCAAATATATGTCTATGCATTAAAATATTTGATTGAATATGAATGCAAATTGAATTAAATTCCATAATCTGGAATTAAGAAAAATTATTAGGGTTTGTTAAAAACCCTTATGGTAGCATTAAGAGCTGTTGGCTTGGTAAGCCTAACCAGCCACGAAACTCAAGGTTGCAAGCCCAGAACCAAAACGATGCATTTTAGGCACCATCGTCCTCATCCTATCCTCCGGCCTGAAGCCCAGGTCCTCCTCGTTGATTTTTCCAAAGAAAACACGACCAGAAGTCATGTAATTTGGACGAAACTCATCGTTTTCATCGATGATCTTAGAAATTTCAGAAGAATTTCGTGAATTTTTTTAATCGGCTTCACTCGAATTCGTTCGATTCTCACCCCCATCGTTGAGATTCAACCTCCATCGTCCAATCTTGGTTCTCTGATGAATGAAAGGCTTGCACCGACCATGGAACATTGCTTAAAGCGACGCCGTCGACCATCTCCAGTGGATCCTCACACCCAGTGCTGCTGGGGTGGCCTACAGATGCAAACCGAGCCCTAACAAGCCTCAGATTCTTTTTAGTCTATATGCACAACACCTTTGTTATTGGGCCTGCTTGTGCCTAGAGCCTTGGCCCATATCACCAACCCTTTGGGCTTTGGTGATAACCTTGCCTAAGAACCAGTTGAGCCTTTCTGGGCTCCTACCGTTTCTCCCATGCACCTGTGTATGCATCACAGTTGATATGTGCCCTTACGGACCCCTATTTTGGGCTTACGCATGCAACCTACTTATTTTGTGATGTTGGGCCTGCCTGCATGCTAGGCCTGAGCCTAACCTTGCCCAATTTTTAGGCCTAGGCCGCACGGCTTCTATTTGCTCAACGTACTCATGGGTTTGGCCTATGTTTTTGGGCCCCGAGTTTAATTGCCTAATTATTTTAGGCCCAGATCGCTTTGATCACCAAAAAGACATATTCTTGCCTGAAGTAAGGCATGACTGATGACATTTGTGATTCCAAGACTTTAAGTCTGTGAATGAATATAATTATGAAGTTTGTCGAATTCAATCACTTCTCAAGTTTTGTAACGAGACTTTGACTGAAGAGGATCTCCTGGAGATGACCTATTCGACCTTCTTTGCTACTAATATTGTCATGTAGCAACAATATAGAGCTCAGAAGTTCACTAAGTTTTTAGATTTGACCTCTATTTTACTTCTTACTGAAAAACAGAATTAGTTGTTAATAAAAATTATCAAGCTCGACCTACTGGGGCGACTGATGTGCCTGAAACACATTATAGCACGAACCAACGTCCAAAACACCACCATAGGCATGGTAAGGGCAGCTAGAAGCCACCCTGTCAAGGTCAACAGAGCCGAGACCCATCTATGGGAGGAAACAAAGCCCAGAAGCGCCCTAACCTCGATCCCAAGGCCCCAAACTTCAAGAATAAGGGCAAAACACCTGAAACCATAGATGCAAATATGTGTTATGGCTGTGGTTCAAAAAACCATTGGTCTCATGTTTGCCGAGCTCCCCGGAAGGTTGTAGCTGAATATCATTCTCGTCGTAAGAAACTTGAATCAAACTTTATGCAAGTGGACGAACCATAGATTACAAATATGAAGGTTTCTGACTTTCAAGAGGCTATTACCCCTATGGAAGATTAGAATCTTAGACATAAACTATTTTTTTAGTTGAATTTAGACATTGGGGCCGAATTCCACCTAGTGGCCGAACCCCCCATTTGTGTTTTTGGTTAAATTTTGAACAATTTTCCTTTATGTTTAGATTATTTGTTGCTGATTTGTTTTTGGATATTAAGTTTTTAATTAATTACCATCCTTGAATACTTAAATTATTTTGAATGGATATTTGTTTTTAAGAACTTTTATGCATGTGACCGATTCAAATTAATTTTCATTTTAGGTATGACTAGTGGGGAAGTTAGTTGTCTAACAGATAGTGCAACCACGCACACCATTTTGCGTGATATTTCACTAACTTCATACCTAAGAATGAACCTCTGACAACCTTCTCAAACCCATCTAACCTGATCGAAGGAAACGGTAAGGCAAGTATAATGTTGTCTAATAGTACAATTTTGACCATTGATGAGGTACTCTATTCTCCATGTTCCGAAAGAACATTGTTGAATTTCAAGGATATTAGAGATAATAATTACCACGTTGAAACCTGTGTAGAAAATGGAGTTGAATTTCTCTGCATAACTTCCTATGAATATGGCCAGAAGTGTATTCTAGAGAAAATGGAACGTATCTCGAGTGGTCGATATATTACGACCATACGTCCCATAGAGAACCACTATGTGGCCGGCTCTACCTTTGGGATCGCAAACGAAATTACACTTTGGCTTAATTGCATGGGACACCTTAGACGAACAACGTATTGTTGTATCCTCAAATCATCACACGGGCATCCACTAACCCAAAGTTTAGGTTTGATTCAAGAAATCGCATGTCAAACCTGCTCCATGGGAAAACTTATCATTAAGCCTTTTTATGACAAAACCGATTCACCTTCCATACGGACTATTTAGATATTTTATGATTTTGGTTAATGCCTCCACACATTGGTCGCACATGTGCTTATTGTCCACAAGGAACGCTGCATTCTCCAAACTATTGGCTTAGGTTATCAAGCTCATTACTCACCACCCTGATTATTCGATCAAATCTATTCGATTAGATAATGCTGGAGAATTCACATCTAAAACTTTTGATGACTATTACATATCGATTGGGGTTGAAGTTGAACATCCAGTACCCTATATTCACATCCATAATAGACTGGCAGAGGCAATCATTAAGTGCTTACAAATGATTGCTCAATCATTGGTCATACGTACCAAGTTCCTGATTGCTGCTGAGGGCTATGCAATATTACACGCAGCTATGTTGGTCCACCTGAGGCATGTTGCGACCCAACTATAGTGTCATTCAATTGGTTACCGGATATGAACTCGACATATATCATTTGCGCATTTTTGGTTGTGCAGTCTATGTGCTGATTTCGCTGCCTTACTTACGAAAATGGGGCCTCAACGAATGCTGGAAATCTATGTCAGATATGATTCTTATTCGATTATTCGTTACTTAGAACCTTTGATAGACGATTTGTTTACCGCTCGTTTCGTGGATTGTTATTTCTATGAGATAGTCTTCACGTCGGTAGGGAAAATAAGAACGTCAACGTTCCTGAAAAGCGACGTGAATTATTGTAGACGACTCCCACTTTGTCTCATTTAGATCCCTGCATCGCTCAGTCTGAAACTGAAGTGTAGCGGATATTAGATCTCGAGAGCATAGCTCAGAGCATGCCAGATGCTTTCACCAATCTAACACGAGTGACAAGATCACATATTCCATCTACAAATGTGCCTGCAAAGATGGATGTACCAAATGTACGA